CCATTGCTTAATCCAAGGTCACCAAGATTTATGCCTATGTTTTCTTCTAAGACTTTTATAGTTTTAGCTCTTACATTTAGGTCTTTGATCTATTTTGAGTTAATTTTGTATATGGTATGAGGTGGCGGGAGGGAAGACTAACCTTTTGAATGACAAATATCACAGCTAAAACTATAGCGTACATATACCAACTGTCTATATGATTTGCTTTTTAAAAATTATTTAACCTAGTTTCAAAACTATAATTCTATTTGAAAGCAACTGCAGTGGCTAATTAGGTCAAAACCTACTCGCTTTGGAAGTGAGAAATTATGGGTCAGGCAAACTGTACTTGATCATGTTTCCTCGTCCAATCAGGTAACAATCTGCTAAAACTATTAAGCAGAAAGCTCATGTGGGTCTCCGTAATAGATCATCTGACAGTACCAGAACGTACTGGCTAATCTTAACATCACTAAACATGGGACAGCCAGACATTATGTTCCTCCAAAAGTAATGCAATTAGGAAGTATATACTACTGCCTCTGAAATACTTTTGACAAAATAGTGGAACCTAAATCCAATCACTCTTATAGATCTAACTACCAGTTTACAGAAAATATGGAAGCTAGAGGAAGAAGAAAAACACTGTGGAGATACAACTAGCCAAATCCAGAAGGTGGGAAACTCTCCAGGACACATGATCCAGTTTCTTCGAACAAAAAAATGTCATTAAAAAGAGAGAGAGAGAGAGAGAAAAGTGTTACAGATTAAAATAGTCTTAAGAGACATACCAACCTAATCCAATGTGTGGACCTTGACTGGATCCTGACTGAGAAAACAGTAACAACAACTAAAAGAGGACATTTTGAGACAAATGAGGAAAACTGAACACAGATCTAGCATATAAGAAATTAGTTAATTTTGTTGGCTATAATAATGGCATGATGATTATATTTTTAAGAAGTCATTATCTGTTAGAACATATACCAAAGCATTTAAAGTAGAAAAGGGGTGATGCCTGGTATCTGCTTTAAAATATTCCAGCAAACCATAACAACAAAAACTGTGTGTGGAGGGAAACAGATGAACTAAGAACAGTAGAAAGCTGATGGCTGCTGAAGTTAGGTGCTGGGTTCACTGGAATTCATTGTATCATACTTTTTACTTTTATGTGTTTGAAAAATTTCTTCAATAAAAGCCTAAAAAATAGCAATCAAATTGATTATCACATTAAAAATAACAATAATTTAAAGTTACTAAATTATAAAACAGTCACACAATAATTCTTTAGAATTCTTCTTCTTCAATCCTGAGATGTAGTTATGTATGCAGAAGGCATAAAGCAGGCAAGAGGCCAAAAGAAGTCAGGAAATTGGACAGTAAAGTATTTATTTAATAATATCTATTAACTTTCTCAAGTATAGATCCCAAATCACAGATCCCTATTTTTTTTTTTTTTTTTGCATGACAATTATGCTTTTCCTAGACTGGATCTAAATCAGGACAATAGCACATGGACAGTATCATTAGACTTTCACTTGGTCCTGATCTCAATACAATGTTACTTTTGTTATTATCAAAAGCGAAGAATGTCCATGTCAAACACCTAGACTGTCTATAGTGCTATCAAATATCATACCAATATTATTTATAAATGTCACTTTAAAATGTAATTAACCATGAGGAAACAATCAGACAAATACAGAACACTGAACATTTCTATAAGACAAAAAGCCCGAACTCTTAAAAATGTTACTGTCACGTTCAAAAAAAAAAAAAGTGAGAGGGCTATTCTAGATTAAGAGACTACAGAGACATAACAACAAAAGTAATGTATGAATCTTGATTGGGTCTCAGTTCAGAGGGAGAATCAGCTATAAACATTTTGGGACAAGTGGAGAACTATGAATACGGACTCGGTATTAGAGGATATGGAATTATTGCTAATTTTATAGATGTGATAATAAGATTGTGGTTTTGTAGAAAAATGTACTTATTCTTAAAAGACATACGCTGAAAAATTTAGGTGTGAAATGCCATGATGTCTGAAATTCACTTTCAAATCGATTAACTTGTGTGTTGCAAAGTTAGGGAACAGTCCACAAGACCACTCTTACTTCTGACACCAACTACAGAGTTTGGTGGTTCCCCAAAACCACCCTCAGATTCAGTAATTCACTAGAAAGCCTCACAGAACTCACTGAAAGCTGCCATACTCACAGTTGTGGTTTATTACAGCTAAAGGACACAGATTAAAATCAGCCAAGGGAAGATATGCATAGAGCAGGGTCCAGGAGGGCTCCAAATGCAGGGTTTCCAGTTGTCCTCTCCCCATAGCATTGTGGGCAGCATTCATTCCTCCTAGTAACACTGTCTGACAATACACACAGAGTATTGCTTACCAGGGAAGCTCATGCGAGGCTTGGTAGCCACAGTTTTTAATTGAGCTCCATCACACAAACACGCATGACTATCCACATGGATGATCTCAGTCTTCAGTCCCTCAGAAGGTTGAGCTGATACTATGTGACCCAGAGCCCCCACCCTAAATCACTTTGCTGCTATCTAGCTGGTCCAAGGCCCCCAGGTATACAAAGACACGCCTATGTGGCACAACATTCCTAGGGCTAAGAGATTGCCTTCCAGAAGCAGAAGGCAAAGGCCAGACCTCTCCCTCTGGGCAAGGTTAAATTCTTTATTACACAATTTGCTTCCAACTAACTTGGTTTAATACTGTGTGTTAATATAAACATTTATCTTCGCAACATAAATAAAAATAACTTGGAAGAGGTTAGATAATTGACAATATAGAGAAGTACTTTTCTGGCATAAGTACAAGCCTTTTGGTTTACTGACTTATTAAACCAAACAACTAAATAAATCAAATAGATAGTCCCTTCCTGAGTTTTTCAGGTACAGAATAATATATACATATATATATACACACACTATCAGTTTGTAAAATGAGCAAACATCTTTGGATGGAATTAAAGTTCTGCCCCAAACATTCTGTTATGGATTGAATTCTCTCTCCCATAATTTATGTTGAAGTTCTAACCCCTGGTAGCTGTGAACGTGATCTTGTTTGGAAATAGGGTCTTTGAAATGTTATCAGTCAAGTAACATCAGGCCATACTGGAGTAGGGTGGGTCCTAATACTATCTGAGTTTGGGCCTATAAAAGAGGAGGAGAGAGACAGAGGAAAGATGGCCATGTGATGATGGAGGCAGAGTTGGAACTGTGCCGCAGCTGCAAGCCAATGAAATCGGACACTATCAGAAGTCAGGAGAGACAAGGAAGGATCTTCCCCTACAGCCTTGGGAGACAGCATGGCCCGACCAACGTGTTGATTTGGACTTCTAGCCTCCAGGACTGTGAGACAATATAGTTCTCTTCTTAAAACTCGCCCAATTTGTGGTATTTTGTTACAGCAGCCCTAGGAGACTAATACAGATTCTGGTGCCAGGAAGCAGGCTGCTGCTGTAACAGATACCAAAAAAAGTAGAAGTGGCATTGGAATTGGGTAATGGGTAGAGGTTGGAAGAGTTTTCAGGCACATGACAAAGTATAGATTGCCTTGAAGAGACTGTTGGTGTTGGATGGACATTAAAGGTGATTCTCGTGCAGGCTCAGAAAGAAGTGAGAAGAACTGCAGAGAAAGCTTCTATCATCATGAACAGAATGTGCTAGAAATGTGGACATTAATTGTGCTTCTGGTGAGACCTTAAAAGGCAATAAGGAACATTGCTAGACCTTGCTAGCCTTACTTTTTAAAGGCCCCAATTCTCTCATTTGTAAAATGAGGATATCTACCTAGCAAGGTTTTTGTGTGGAATAAAGAGGGCAGTGAGGCCCCCAAAATTCAATAACCTAAAATGTGA